TGGCCATGCCCAAAAATAAAATAAAATAAAAGGTAATCGGATTGCTCGTGGCCGAGGCCGTGGTAAAAGAATGACCGGAGTCAATGTAGGAAAGTAGTAACATATAGTAAAAATGAATGATCGGGGTCATCGTGACCGGAGTCATAGCAAAATATGTGAGACGGGGTCGCTGTGACGGTACCCGAAGTGAAATGTGTGACACTGGGTCGCTAAGGCCGGAGCAGAAGTAAAAACATGTAACACTGGGTCACTGAGGCCGGAGCCGAAGTAAAAACATGTGACACTGGGTCACTGAGGCCGGAGCTGAAGTAAAAACATGTGACACTGGGTCACTGAGGCCAGAGCCAAAGTAAAAACATGTGACACTAGGTCACTGAGACCGGAGCCGAAGTAAAAACATGTGACACTGGGTCACTGTGGCCGTAGTCGAAGCAAAGCGTGCGACACTGGGTCACTGTGGCCGGAGCCAAAGTAAAACATGTGACTGAAGGCATTAGGTCAGGTGCCGAAGTAAAATACTTGTGCAAAATTTAAAATGGATAAAAGTGAGCAAGAGTGTTGAAATGGGCTTAAGTGGGCCCATATGAGAAGTCTGACAAAGAGGTGGTGCGTGACGCGACAGCTGTCCTCTGAATGACGTGCGTAATAAATGCTGCTGTAAAAAGATAAATGTAACAGCCCAACAGGTAGATGTAAAAAACGAACCGTCGAGTTCGAAACGGTACCGTTTGGGGTTAACCGTCAAATTCGAAACGGTGTCTTTGTAGCCGTTAGATGGGTTAATCACAGCCGTTGAGGCGTATTTTGCCTTTGGTATAAAAGGCTAGACTTTTGTAAAGAGGGATTTTTACTTTCGTGATTTTGCTTCAAAATTCTTGCTGAATTGCTACTAAATTTCTGCGGTTTTGTGCGGTTTGCGCTTCAATCAAGACTTCGACAATGGTTTCCAAGACCAAAATTAGGTAAAGTTTATGAATTTTTTATTTTGATTTGGTCGAAGTGCTGTTCTTCTTTCTCCCTTTCTGTGGTTAATTTGGGGTTTTTTTTGAAGGAAATTAGGGTTGGGGGTAAGAATATATTGAGTGTGTTAGCATTGTTAAGGGTCCTGACTCTGTTCCTCCCCCCACTCTATGTAGAAATTGAGGAGATGTCTTCAGAAGAGGCCATGAGTGTAGTGGGGAGTGAGGTGATGCCCCTGGATTACGGGAGCATGGACTCGAAGAGCAGTCCGTCTCCAACTAGTTCGGAGAGGACAGTGGAGTATATAAGGGGGCGAAGGGTAGTAGAGGTAGAAAAGTAAGAAGATAAAATCCCTTCAAACATTTTGGAGGCTGGAGGTGGTGTAGATGGGTGTTATGACCCAGATTTAGAGATAGTGTCTGAGGTGAGGGGGTATGTGAGTGAGTTAGGTAGTGGGGATAGTCTGAGGGGCCTCGTGAGTAACTGTAACCTTCCTCACCACGTCTTACTTAGGCCTGCCGGGGTGAATGAGAGGGCATGGTCAGCACCCCGAGACCATTGGATGCCCCTCTACGTCCATTATTTGATGGCAGGGCTTAGGTTTCCCATTCCAGAATTACTGGTTGGGCTATTATTAGATTATAGTATAGGAATAACCCAATTAACCCCAAATGCCATAAGGGTAATAATAGGCTTTCTTGTATACTGCAGAGTTCGGGAGGTGGGCGTCCCGACAGTAAACATGTTTAAACATTTTTTTATAATTAAGGCTGGGGGTAAGGGGGAGAAGGGGTGGTACTACTTCGGTCCTCGGTCGTCCAACAAAGATAATAGGAATTTATTCACTGCTGGACCGTCATCCATCAAAGGATGGAAAGAAAAATTCTTCTTTGTGGATGACATCGAATGGAGCAGGAGGGATGCCGAAGTGAAACAGTTGTCTGCTTGGAAAGCAAAGAAAACCAAGCAGAACAACTATAAGTTGAACAAGGATGAGGTGGAGGAGGTGGAGAAGCTGGTGAGGGAAGATGGAGACGTAGTGGATATCTTGTACCTCACCAGTCCTAAGGCAATAGAAGCTGTTGAGCTCTATGGGCCAAGCTCATTGAGCGAAGGTTTGTGTATGTTTATATTGTACCACTTACTTGAATTTCTAGCTATTGTGTTTTAACACTTGTTTTTGCTCTGCAGCTGAGATGGACGAATATATCAATGCTGTTGGAGGGCTGCGCATCCCCAAGAAGCCAAGGAAGAAGTCAAAGACTTCGACTGCGGCAGACAAAGGGGCGGTAGAGAAAGAGCGCCTGCCCAGCGCTTCTGTTCGAGTGCTGGAGATACAGCAGAGACCAGAGCCTGCAAGGGGGAATAGTGAGGATGTGAGTGAGGAGGTGGCACCACTCCAGAGGAAGAAGAGGAAGGTGGCTGAACCAAAGGTGAGGGGGGATGAGGTGGCTGAGTTCGTACCTCGCCCCTCTGCTCCTGAAATCAACCCTGAGGTCAGGGAAAGGGAAGGGGCTGAGGTGCGAGGCCCTGGCAGGGGCAAGGAGCTCATCCCTCCTCATTTGTACGAGAAGAGCTTGTTTGAGGCGGCAAACACGACTGGGGCGAAGCACTTCCTCAACTGTATTCTCCTTGAGGTGGATAGGAGGCGGGCGAGGGATGAGGCGGTGAGTCGGCTAGGAGCTACTGTGGTGAGGCATGCCCTGGAGGTATGTAAGGGATATGTAGGTTAGTCCTGTTTTAATTTTACTCCTGTGTTTGAGGTCTGACTTCTGCTTACCTTGCAGAGTGTAAGCTGGACAAACGCTCTAGCGCAGGAGTACGCGGAGAGTGTGAGAGATCGTGCCAGCTTGCAGAGGCAGTGCGAGCAGCTGCAGAAGGAGAGGGAGGAGCTGCAAATGGAGAAGGAGGAGTGGCAGAAAGAAAGGAAAGAGATGCAGAGGAGGCTGGATGAGGTTCTTCCTTCAATTACCGGACTCCAGAACGACAATGATGTCCTGAGCATGAAACTCGTTCTTGAAGAACACAAGAGGAAGATCTGCGAAGACAAGCTCGAGGCTCAGGATAAATATATTGAGAACATGAAGAAAGGAGCAGCGGAGCTGAAGAAGAATGTGAACC